TTTACACGCGCCAGTACCCCCGAAAATTTTTCTATTTTGTAGTAATGTGCAAAAGAGAGAGAGGTTAGCTCTACACGCGCTAGTACCCCTGAAAAGTTTTCCCATTTGTAGTGTACAAAAGAGAGAGAGGTTAGCTCTACACGCGCTAGTACCCCTGAAAAGTTTCCCCATTTTGTAGTGTACAAAAGAGAGATAGGTTAGCTCTACACGCGCTAGTACCCCCGAAAATTTTTCCATTTTGTAGTAATGTGCAAAAGAGAGAGTGGTTAGCTCTGCACGCACTAGTACCCCTGAAAAGTTTCCCCATTTTGTAATGTACAAAAGAGAGAGAGATTAGCTCTACATGCGCCAGTACCTCTGAAAAGTTTCTTATTTTGTTGTGCACAAAAGAGAGAGAGGTAAGCTTTACACGCGCCAGTACTTACCTCTGAAAGTTTCCCCTTTTGTAGTATTGTACAAAAGAGAGAGAGGTCCCTTTCTGGAAAGTTTCTCGTTTTTTTATCAGTCGTAGTGTTGTACTGAGAGGGGTTAGCTTTTAATTTGTTACTTTTTAAAAGAAATTTTATACATGTAGTACTGTACATGGTTTGTTGATCACATAAATACTAATATTTGGTGATTTTAAAAATTTTTATTATTAAATGTTTAAAAAAAAAAATTTAACAGATACTATTGAAGGTTATTGAAGGGAGAGTTAAGATTTTTTGCTATTATATGAAAAACTATTATTTTTTTCTATGTAACGTTTAATATTTACTAATTAAAACAATAACATGTAGCATATTTATTTAAAAACTTACTATTTGCTGGTTGCAGGCGGTGGGAGAGGATAGGCGAAACCATCTAAGCGCCCATAGTAAGCGTTTTGTATACACCTTGGGCGTCGAAACTTGCAGACGACGCTATCAACGTGCGTATCACAGTAAAAAATGCTTTTGTTATTCAAGGACGTTCTTTACAGTCAGAGGGGGAAATGTATAGAGTCCAGTGAGGAGGGAGCGAGCATGCGGCAGCACCGGCAATTGTTTTGAATGCATTTGTATACCTACATAGAGGTGTCTGCTCCTTTTTTTTTTTTCATTTAATTGCAAAAATGTCATGCAAAAAAAATTGGACAAATTTTACCAACCGCTTTTTCATGAATTCAATTTTGATGTGCCGTTTCCATAAGGTTACGTTTTAAAAAGATTTTCCAAAATTTAATATATAAAGAACGGTGTTGTGAAACGATCTCAAATTTTATGTGTGACTTTCTAACGTCATTACGAAGATTTTGTTGAAATTTCAGGAAGATTCTATACAAAACGCTATGTGTAATAACCGTCTTTAACTGCGTTATTAGACAGAAATGCGACCGAATAATGAATACAGTGATTTTCCAAAAGAAAAAGAAACATTACACCAGATGATTCGTAAATTCACACGACTTGTAATACCTAAGTAAAGTAAGAAGAGCAAAAGATTAAATTTATATCATTGATAGCATTGATGCTGTTTTGTTTAGAAGGTCTCAATTATCGCAATGTGCGGCTCGTTTCGTTTATTCTCTTACCCATCCATTCATTGTCCGAATAGTACAGTAGGTACCATGTGATTTTATTTTACTAAACAAAAACTACTAATTCGACAAACGATTAGATAATGCTTTTACAGCAAGCACTGTTAACTTACCATTCTTGCACTTACCGCATTTGCGTGAAAAAGGCCCAAATGGAACTTTTTGAGTCAAGAAAATTAAGAAAGTAAATTTTCAATTTTGTTTTCACTAGCTAATATCATTTATGCAAAATTATTATTATTTCACTTTAGTTTCTATGTACAGTACAGGGTCATTTTTCAAAGATTATTAGGGTGCGTTTAGACGCAACGTCAATAGAGTGTGCAATGCAATAAAAGCAGTACTATCTAGAGGAGAGGGGGAAAAAGTAGTGCCATTGCAGCCGCATAGCAATCTGCAATCCATTTGAATGCACGGGTGCGAGAGAGATGACGGATCATTCGCCCCCTCTCTCTCGCACTCGCGCATTCAAACGGATTGCAGAAAAGTATTGACGCCCCATGTGAACAGGGCACACTGTTCAATGGCTCTCGGCTGCAAAATAGAATACTTTTTTTTTCCCTCTCCTCTATAGATAGTATTGCTTTTATTGCATTGGATACTCTATTGGCGTTAGGTCAAGTGGCATTACAAATAACAAAACAATAGTTTCGTAATGAAAAAATACAAAAAAATTGCATTAATAAATAATATTTTACACGAGATGGATTTTTTTACATAGAAAGGAACGAATTGACATGGACGTCATAACATTTTTGAAAAAGGCACAAAATCCTCAAAAATATGATTGGGTACTTTATAATTAATTTATATGCTGTTTGAGAGAGAGAGAGAGAGAGCTGTAGATGCTTCAGAATTCAAATATCTATAGATTTGTACCTATAGATCTCTTTGTATTTACAAATTTCTGCTGAAATCACCTTCATCGTCCAAATTAAGAATTTTTAATTATATTAAGTTATTTAATAAAATTTCATAAAAGCTGCAAAAAGCTGCAAATTTCAAAATAATTACAATGGCCTAGTGCATGGCATCCAAATTTTACGAGAAATATCTGTTGGCCATCGAGTACAGGTTTCGAAACTTCATTATAAATCACTGCGGTCTAAGTGTCTCTCAGAACCCCAAGCTAAATGTCAACAACTCGCAGTGATAATCATTTCGCTCTTATAAAAAACACAAACAAAAAAAAAAAAAACCAATTCTTCAAGCAGTCGTCGAACGATATGGCGTCAATCAAACACGTTTTACTCGTTTTCCTCAACTTTTGGGCTCCAATTACCGCCCTCGTTGCAGGTAAATTATTTGCGAGAGACCCCGTGAGTTAGAAAAAAAAAAAAAAAAAAAAAAAACTGATTTCATGTTTCATTTGCAGATTGTACGAAAAAGTAGGAAACGTCGAGTTACATGGTTTCCGAGGGTCATAGGTATATAAATAAATACGACGGAGGACGGTAGGTGTATGTATTATATACTTGTATGCACACGAGACCCGCGAGTAGACAAATATAAACGGTGAGTAAAAGAGGAAACGGAAAATATATATAGTCACACATAATAGGGTCCGCGGGCTCGGCTACACGCTGTCGTGTGTACCTTGTGGAGCGTGTCGCGTGGGTGGGCGACTTGCTCCTCCACCGAGAGAGATGTACAGCATTTTATAGGTATACCTGTATTGCACTCGAGGGGTGTAATATAACGTAGCTGACAGAATTGAAGAAGCAGAGTCGCCGATACCCATACCTCCTCCATGCAGGTACGTCTGTTTGTGTACCGGTGCACGCGAGAGCCGGAAGACGACGCGAGGGCTCTATTTTCTCCAGAGGGTGCACGTGCACATGTACATGTATTATATGTATAATCCACGAGCACCCAGGTGGTTTTTGACTATACTCTCTCCTCTTCATCTTCTTCCACCCCCGTACCCCCTTCCTTTAGCTCCGCGGCCTGCTTTGTAATATTTAAACAAGCCACAGCTTTAAATCTTACGTAAGTGGAGCGCGAGCCGGAGAGTCCGGACGCGATTACTCTCCTGACGAAGCGAAGAGTCTTCCCGTGTGGACTCACGTGCACTTCACGAGCGGAACTTGGTATACACACACGCCGATAAGGGAAGTATATTGGGGGGGGGGGGGCATTGATGATTTTAAATTTGTCATAGTTCGTTATTGCTTATTGGCGAGTCGGTGTTTTGATCCACAACTTTCCTCGTGTGTACACTCGATGCGCTTATTTTGCTGTTACGGGCTGTTTTCGCGCGGTACAACTCGCGGATCTCGGAATTTTAATGCCATTTCGAAAAGTTGGCCGAGAATCGTGCGTCGTAAATGCCCCCCCCCCCTTCTGTAGAGTCGCAATGTTGTAACATACGCGTATAAGTAGAGCCACGGTATAGACGGAAGCTATTTTTCAAGACTTTTTCATTGGGTTCGAGCCTTTGCGGCTGTGTGTACACCATATGTATAGTAATGTGCGGGTAGAAAAGGGAGGGCGCGCGAATGGGCGTATTATGTATTCGCGAGGGAGGCAGCTCCTTTGATACCACACCTTGTGCCTTTCTTGCTTTGATAAATCGACTTTTCGCCGACCACGAGTACAGAGAAAGTAACGCGTGTTGGGGAGGAGGTATACGTGTGACATACATATACATAGTTGCGGCGATAGGTCTTCGTCAAACGCGGGCGGGGGGGGGGGGGAGTTTNATCTTTACGGTTACTACCAAGGTACCTTTTACCTCCAATATCATACAGCTGATATTCCAAAATTGCTGTCATAATCGATGTGTCATGCAATTAAAAAGTTTTTATCAAAAAATAGTGCATCTAATTTTCAGAAAAAATAATTCTTTTCCTGTGGTTAAACACTGTTAATAAATCTTTAATTAAATGCGTATGCATATCAACGGTGTAGTCAAAGAAAGTGTAAAGTCGAGATTTCATCGACAAAATAGTTAATTCAACACAAGTGGGGAAATTGTTATCAAATTTTGTAGGGTATAGTATTTTGTTATGAATGTGCGAAATAAACATACATTAAAAATGTTTTTGAGTTTAAATAAAATAATAACGCTGCCACTGCAAACTTTGTGAAATTAAAATTTTTCCTCGAGTTATTTCTGCTTCTTCACTGTTTATTTCTTTGCTTGAGTTTATTTGTTCACAGCAAAGTTTGAGTTAGCTGAGTATTTTTTATGTAATTTATTAATGTTTTATCGCATTGCACGTGAAAGATAAGCAAATTCGAGTTTTGTATCAAAAGTTTCTTTTCCTGCAAAAATGCAGAAAAAAAAAACCGGAAATTGAATCCTGGCACACGGAGGCAAAATCCGAAAAAGCTGGCTAAAATCAAAAAGTCTTTTGAATGATCTCAAATTTCTCAGACGACGATTTAAAGGGGTCGTTGATTTACAAATCTATTATCAGAAATTACGATTTTTAAAATGATGGACATAACTCCAAGGAGTATCAAAAACTCTAGTAAGTACAAAAACTTTCCGAAAGTATGTGTTGGATGAAAACTAGTGATAAAAGTTATTTATTTCTAGATAAAAAAGCAAAATTAAAGTACATTCTTTTCGACTATTAGCCAGCTTCTTTTGGATTTTGCCCCACACTGTTCAGCCCAGAGCATCGCTGATTGCCACTGAGATCGATTCCCGTAAGTTTCCTAAATGCATTCGAAATAACTCCTGTGCCTCCATCTCTCGACAGCCTCGTCGAAACTACAACCACCCGGACCGGATGCAAACATCAACGACATGATCGACTGGTCGAAGCACCCGTGCAGGCGCGACTGCGTTCCCGGGTTACACCTCACGTGTCGCTACGGTTTCACCATCGAGAACTACGTCACGATGAACAGGGCCTGCTACGACTGTCCTTACAATAAAACCGACTGCTTCAGACCCCATTGCATACCAGGCGACGGCGAGGTTAAGATCATCATTTTGGCCAACCGGCTGCTACCCGGTCCCATGATCGAGGCAAGGTTTTTTACTATGTTGCCGTTACAGATTTCGCTATAGTTGGCGTTTATATCCCTTGTTAATCCATACACATTAGGTTTGCCAGGGCGATAGGATAATCGTGGACGTGGAGAATGGACTGTCGTCGCAAACAACGTCCATACACTGGCACGGGGTTACTCAAAGGGGTACCCCGTTTATGGATGGGGTGCCGTTCATCAGCCAGTGTCCGATCCTACCGGGGCGTACTTTCCGCTATGACTTTCGAGTCCCCGACGCCGGGACCTTCATTTGGCACTCGCACAGTGGTCGGTGGTGCAAATTTATTTTTAATGTCAATACATTGAGATTTTTTTTTTTTTTTTTTTTTGTGAAGGGCTAACTCTACATGCGTTGGCTTGAATGTTCAGGTGACCAGAGAGCCGACGGCTTACTTGGTGGGTTCGTGGTCCGTGAGCCCAGATCGATGGACAAAATGAGTAGGCTGTACGACGTTGACGAGCACGTGGTCGTCATCAACGACTGGGCACGTGGTTCTGGGCTCGCTTCCTACATCCTCGAGTACCAGAACAACATCGTTGCCGCTCCCCACGCCATTCTCGTCAATGGTTTTGGGCGCTTTAATGGCTCTGACAAGTCAAAACTGCTGCCACGAGCCGTTTTCGAAGTCGAACAGGTTTGGCGCAGTGTACAGAATTTAGTTTTTATGTAAAAACTTTGTCGGTTACTGATGGAAATAGTCTAACTTGTGTCGATTATCAGCAATTATTGTGGCCGTTTATGAGTTTTAATTCGGAGGTGGTTGATATGAGCAAACAGGGGGTTGCATAAAAAAAATCAATTTTTGTTGGGTGTAATGTCGAGATTCATTGTCAATTTTTTTTTCTGCTGCTAAGGGAAAACGGTATAGATTTCGTCTGGCAAACCTGGGTTCCCTCAACTGCCCGGTTCTTTTGTCAATCGACCGACACCCGATGTTGGTGATTAGTACTGACGGTTCGAACATCCAGCCGGTCGAAGGTACAGTATTCATTCAACGTTTTTTGGCGTTTGTCCATCCTTTTGTTTTCTCCACAGTCGACACGATTCGCTCGCTGCCCGGCGAAAGGTACGACTTCGTGATAGAAGCAAACCAAGAAATTGACAACTACGCGATGTTCTTCCTTGGTACCGTCGAGTGCCTGAAATATCAAACTTACCAAGTCGCCATCTTGCATTACAAGGGTGCCCCAGATCACGAATTAACGAATGAACCCACACCAGGTGCAACATTAAGCGCTGAATCGTCTGGTATCAGCAACAATCGAGTATGCAAACCAAAAAATATACGTCACTCAACTTAAAAAAAACAATTACGTGCTTTCGCATAAAATTATTACCGTGGGGTTTTTCGCATACACTTGGTAATTTTTTCAAACCTCTACATGGTATTAGAAAAACTACTATGGATTAAACTATGTGGAAGGGGGTTTAATACTTGTCTTCGACACCTTCAGAAAAATATTGAAAATATTGTTTGTACCTAGGAGTTGAACCCGTTCGACATGGGCACGGAAACACCTGGAGCCTACAGCGTTGCGACCCTTTATTCCGCAGAGCCTGACGACGATTCAGTCCTGCGAGACCCGGACTACAAGTTCTACATCACGTACGATCTCTACGAAATCGACAACTTGTATCACCACCGCACGGATCTTTACGGTTACTACCAAGGTACCTTTTACCTCCAATATCATACAGCTGATATTCCAAAATTGCTGTCATAATCGATGTGTCATGCAGGAAAAGAATTAACGACCCTCGGTTGTAGAACCAAGGGTCGTTAATACACATTGTTCTTCCCCATTACGACATGAGTTGTATGTACATATTGAAACACTGACTGTAATGATAGTCATTGACCATCACTTGTACCATATCCGTGGGAAGAACTATATCACGACCCTTGGGGGTGTGCATGTACATATGTAAACAGTTACGATGAGTAAAGTCACGGATTTTTTTGTTTGTACCTGACGCAGTAAGAAAAGAACACCGCAAGCGAACCTTTCAGCTGAACCACATCACCCTAAAGATACCGAGTCACCCGCTGCAAACTCAATACGACCGAGTAACCCAGTCCGATGACAAGTCATCGGCATTTTGTAACTCTAGCACTGTGAGTGACGACTGCCACTTCAAGTTTTGCGAGTGTATTCACGTGCTCCAAGTGAAACTGGGCTCCGTTGTCGAGGTCGTGATAATCGACGAGGGGGTGCTGAACATAACCCATCCGATGCATCTGCACGGGTCGCATTTTCGGGTGGTGGCGATGGAGAAGATGGGGGATACTGTCACGTTGGAGCAGGTCAAGGAACGGGACCGTGCCGGTACGATCCAGAGAAAACTAAGCGGGGCTCCTTGCAAGGACACCGTCGGCATTCCCAGCGGCGGGTATACCATCGTTAGGTTTTTGGCGAACAATCCTGGTTGGTATCACGTTTCTTTTTTTTTTTTTTTTTTGGATAAAAGTCAGAGGTGCGAGTTTGATGATATATACGCTTTTTTTCAGGTTATTGGTTCTTCCATTGCCACTACGAGACGCACCAAAGCAGTGGTATGGCCCTGATTTTCAAAATAGGCGAGCACGAGGATTTTCCAAAAGTGCCCAAGAATTTTCCTCGGTGCTGAGATTGTCTTTATCCCGTGCAAACTACGGTTTAAGCGCTACATACGTAATAACTACGTGGATTTACATTTTTAATTTACCAGGATTTTTCGAGCCAATATTCGGAAGGGGCATTCAATTAGTGACCTTGAAGTGACCTTGACTTGGATTATAAGTTTGAGGTAATATCCCTTCCTATTGGTGTGATCTAAAACGCGAGTTCAAATTAAATGTCCCCTTGAAATAGTGAAACTTTCATCTGAAAATTGTTTCCTAAATAGTAAGATTTAATCAAGATACATAATCGTCTCAAGATCAAAAACTCACCCTTTGGGTGTTCCACGTTATTTCTGACAAATACGTTCTGAAAAAGTAACGGGACATTGCTGTTAAGGCAAAAACGATCTTAGATTTTTATTTAACGATAGTAATGTATGTACATTATAACTTTTATAAGCATTACTTGTCATTCCAATACGATATTTATTTACTTTTACACTTAAAGTTAAGGTATAGATCTTTCGGTATCTTCATTACGAGTCAATATAACAATGAAACTCACTACTTAACTGTAGATTAGATTTTGACGTGAAAATGTCCTGATTAAAATTATAAAATTTGGAGCTACAGTATCTGAGGTGAAGGTTATGAAAACTTGTTTTTAAAGGTTATTTTTAGCTTAAACTAAAACTATCATCCATATGTCTAGAAAAACGTGACAAGACTTAAAAGTTAATGTTTACCGATTTTTTGCTAAACTTTTTCGGGTGAATACTGCATGAGACTTCAAACTTTATACACGTATTTTGTAGGTAAATAAACAACACAGCCTATAGAAATTTCTAATTTGTATAACTTCATTACGTACTTTTTTCAAATGAAAGTTTCATTAGTATGTTTGAAGTTTTTCGGGATAATCGAATGTATTTATTAATTTTGATGCTGACTGTTAGAAACTAAATACAATAAATAAGGCTTAGTAATTAATTTTTTCATAATTTTTTATTAACAAATATTCAAGTATTGACAGTTTTATTATAATTACATACTCATTTTTGAACAAAGTTATGCACTTGACTAGCGAGGTACCGACGACAGAACTACCTCAAGTCCATTATTCTTGTACCTCAGATTTCTGAAAGCTTATGACAATTCAAAGGGATACAATTTTCTTTGCAATTTTTCGCTCTTCTTCTGAATCTTTACGAGCTATTATATCTTTGCTATTTTTATAACTTTTTACTCTAAACGCTACAACAAATAGATTAACAAATTGTTACATTATTTTAATAAGGGCACGTAAGCAGTATAAGGTATTATCAAATTTGTTAATAAAACTGTGTATAACATGATTAACTTTGATCAAAAAGAGTGTTTTGCTTAACTATTTCTATTAATGCGACAAACAGATCAAACATTAGCACTTTAGATCACTTCCATTCTGTAAATTCTTTTTAACATACTTATTTCTACAATTTAATGTACTTGACTTTTATAAAAACCCGCCAAACAAACCAAGTGATACATTCTAACCAATCACAAAACGAATGAAAATGCTTCAGTCACGTGACAATAAATCTTTTAAGGTAGGATTTTATGTTTACAAATGAAAAACCTCGTTTGTGCAGGAATACATACGAAAAAACCCAAATATTTGAGTTTAATAAGTCTTAAGTTTTATCAGATTTTGTTTTTCGAAAGCGAAAAGTCTTTCTCGTTAGTATAACTTAAGTTGCTTCACTTGAAAGTAAATAATTTATTAGTTTGATCAATTTTTACTAAAAAGTCTTTATTTAATTTTAAAATCAATCATTAATACACGTTTCAGTCCTAAGATATTGTAAATTTTTCATAAGATCTGTTAACTTTCTCTACAAATAATTTCTACGATAAACTAGATTGTTTAATAAATACACACACTTTATCGCAAAATGCTGAAGCGATTTGTTCCAGATGAATTGCTTTGACAATAATAAATTTATAATAAAATATACAAGCAACACGCGTATCAAGATTTACGTAAAATTACATTATTTTCCGATCAGATGCAACAAACATCTCCAATTTACAAAAAGTTTCTTATCAAAAAATTCACGCTGTCTTAGTTAAGTAAACTTTACATGCACTCTTTAAGTATATTTACAGGCAAACAGTGGAATTAAATTGTATTGTTTCTAGATTATCATTTCCCTCCCCCACGATGATTTCCATGTTTGCGTATGAATTGGTCTTGCAGAATCAATTAACAATCAAATGTACAAGTTCTATTTATAAAAGTTTTTTCTTCAACTGTTTTCCGAATAAGATACATCAAACAGCGTTATATCACAATCACGCGTAAAGTTCATTCCACCGGTTTCCCATCCAACTTACGATTCTTCTTTGGTATCGCGTTTCGAGCTTAAACAGTTACTTTTATCATTCACTCCTCCCAATAATAGACTCGACACTGAACGATATCTTGGACTTTTTATCGATCTCCGGCGTCGAACTAACGCCGGCCGGCTTGCCGGTAACAACCGGCGTGATGCTCTGCACGTACGATAGTAGAGGCGTCTGCGAATAGATGGAGCACAGTCTCTGCAAGTCCACCGAGTGATCGCTGCCGTTTAGTTCCGACGGCATTGGGTAAACGTGTTCCTGCGCGATAACTGAAAGAATCCAAAGCCCGCGTTAATTTTACGCAAAAACTTTATACGCTTCACACCTTACAGGCCTATTATTTTGAAAGATCCCTGAGGAAATTTATTCCGATTTCTTTGTGAATACCACACGTAATCAATGTAAATCCACATAGAATCTATTTGGAAATCCACATGGAATTTCTACGAGGACCTTTCAAACCATGGTATTGTCAGCTTACCCGGCACCGCGTCGACGATCTGCAGATCCCGCGTTACGCTGATCCTCGTCCTCGTGAGTTGCAGCCGGTGCCTTTGAAAGTTCCTCAATTTTCTCTCGTAAGCCGCAACAGCTCTTTGATTCGTTGACGAGGTCGACAGGGTAGCCGTGGCATTAGCGGCTTCTAAGTTTTCTCGTGCCTGGAGTTGACGTCGCAGCGCCACCTGGGCGGCCATGACCCGTTGGCGCTCGACTACGAGAAGACAGCAGGCGCAGCGGCACTCGCGCCAGGGACAGTCGCGTTTGTGGCCCTTGAGACCGGAGACGATGCCGTGATTGCGACAGCGGGCACATTTTGGGTTCCTTGTGCCGTTGCTGTTGTTTGTGGTGGCTATACTCATCGAAGGGCAAATGTTTCGATGATCTTTGCTGACTGCTGCTGTTTTATATAAGTACGCGAGGGAAAGAATAAAGATTCATTTTAGTTATGATTTAAATTACAATTTTGAAGATCAACACTGTTATTTAATTAAATTTTTTTAGTTTTAATCTAATACGTCCTATCCGATTCTAGAAAAATTTTCTTCACCTGCGACCCCAACCCTTTAATGGCAAGACTGTTAAGAAGTGTATACATAATTAAACTTTTAAAAGTTGTCTAAAATACGAGTTGATAATACGGAGCTACGGAATAAAACAATTTTTTTTAAACGTTAAAGGATCATTTTTAAGTTTTTAAGGGTTTTGGGCCTAATGGATGCCTAAAAATGGTAAGAAAGAATAAAGTATCTTTAAAAAAACATGCATTCTGTTGTAAAAATTATTCCAATCCAGATACCAAGTAGATTTTTACTTATATAAATTACTAATTCACCGAAAAAGTTGAGATTCTCACTGTTATTCCAAGTAACTATTCAATGATTGCCTAGTTTCGAATACTTCGAATATTTCAATTTGCAAATATCTAATGTGGATCAGCAAAATCTCACGGATTAATTTTAAGTGAGTACACCCCACAAAATCAGTTTTAAGAAATCTCCATTGTAGAGAAAAAAATATCAGACGATATATTTCTTCGTCTTGGATGAATTTTTTTATATGAGCGAGTTTTTCAAAAATATATTTCTAAGCTTATGCTCATTTAATCATTATAAGATGTTTACAGATCCATGCACTGTTTTTTCATTATTTTCAAACAGTAACACACCCACACACGCGTGTAAGATTATCCACGGACTCCAAGGAGTCGTCATCGAATTTCACACACACGCACTCATTCAAACCGAATTTTAAAAAACACAATTATGAAAAAATTTCGCGTCATTCAATTCAGTGCCTATTGTTTTCTGTAATTCTCGTAAATATCCAATAACCGTAATTTTGCGGATCAGGTCCGATTTGAAGTACAACTTCAAACGACTTTCTGCACCACCGTACGTATCATGAAAAAAACTTGCACTTCAACGCATATATTATCCGTCGCACTGATAGCACCGGTTGAAAAAAAAAAAAAAAAGTATTAAAAAACACAAAATCTCACCAGCGGCCTGACAGTCGCTTATCATTTTCGAACCAACACAGCACAACCACAAAGGAAGTAAGTAAACTTCAGCAGCAGAGAGCAAGTGCCCAAGTACACCGAAGCGCGACGTTCGAGTATCAAATCGTCCTGACGACCGAAGAAAGCGCGAGCGTATTGTTAAGGCCATAGTGGCAGCTCTTTGGTCTCTAAGATGCTGCGTCCTCCGATCGGACGGACGTGGGTGTGGTTTCTTTGGAGCGCACCAATGGGAGGTGGAGTCGATTTTCTTGGGAGTGAATGGTTAGCTGTGCCGGTGACTGCCTACTCTGGTTCATCCAACCAACCGACTTGCGCTTATTTTGAGACACGCTGCGATGGCTTGGTTTGGAGGATGTATTTTTGTTGCTATTATATATATATATATTACAATAGCACAAAAGTACAAACAAAAATTGTTATATTTGATTTTCTGTAGGATGAATAATTTGATTGCTTCATCAAGAAGTTTGGTTGTTTATGTTTTCTGGTAGAATATTTATAAGGCTTAGGTTACTTAAAAGTGAGTTTTTCTTTATAACTCAATTTTATCCTGTATCGTAAGAAATTTTTACTTATGAACAATTTTTAAGGAACATTTTCCTGGGGTCAAAATTGAATGTTATAGAAACTTAATACGGATCAAGTGGAAAAAAATGGACCAAATTGATTAGCTTTCACTTTTAAGGTAGCCTTTTTTTTTTAATCAAAAATAGATATAGGTACTATTTTTGTAAATCTTAAAATTGAAAAACCGTTTTTTTTTCTGCCGAGATATCGAGTTTATTGTATGTATTGCTAGAGATACTATTTTATCAGAGAAAATTTAATAGAAATTTTTTTTTCTCTTTCGGTAACAATTTTTATAAGGTATTTGTAGTTAGTTTTAATAATTTGTAAATTACTGTTAAAACATTAATGTTTCTTTTTAAAATCCCAAAGACTCCTTAAACAGTTTTAGCTAAGTATATGCAATTCATGAAAATTAGAAGACAGAGGACATTGTTAGTCACAGCAAAAATATACCTTTAAAAGTTTCAAACAAAACTCAGACGTATAGTTTCATATAAAATAATTAAATATTTGAAATAAATTTTCAGATGCTCGATCACTCACGAAACTTTTGCATCTATATTGTGTGTGCACAGTGTATATATTTACCAATAAGGTAAGGCTCCCTTTGTATGGCTATACCCTCACAATTTCAAAGTTTTATCAATCACTTTTTGTAGCACCGAAGAATGTAAAAAAAAAAAAAAAAAACAAAAGCCATCGTTAAAATTGCCATTTCAACGAAACGAGAGACTCAAGCCCAAAAGTCAATTAATACTCACGAATGTGCCGCGTGTCCGACGAGCCAACTTGACATGTCTATTAATACATTCAAAGAGATCTCGCGTGCACGTAGGTGTATATCGTGTGAGTAAGTAAGTAGCCCACGTACGACATTTGCGGGGGAGGAGATACTTAATAATAGGCCGTCGACAATACTTACGTGCCAACGTGCGTGTGCCACGTTTCGAATAAACACATTGAAAAAATGACAACCATAACGAGCTGCACAAATATATACATATTATAGGTTCTCTTGCACGTATGTGTTTGAGTTTTAAAATTGATATTTTCCAACTTTTTTCATACCATTTATTATATCTATCATTTTTTTGTCTGATGGAAAACAGGTGTGTCGTACGTGATTCTAAAAAAAAAAAAATTTCATTNAGGGAGGGAAAAGAGATTTTTTTATTTTTATCCCCTACATAAGGATGTGTACATCGGTGTCGCATCGACGACTGAGTTGAAAAATATATATTTTCTAAGTGTACTTACAGTATCATCAGTAATTTTGAAAAACATTTTTTTATTTAATATGACGAAACGATTTTTTGGATTGTTACAGAAAATTATATATTAGAATATTTCTTTTTTAAACAGTGCATTGTTGGGAAATAATTGGTGAATCACTTTGTTGCAAAAAAAATTTGTTAAGATGATGTACATAAGAGTACAAAATAAAAAAAATTACATTAGGAACTATTTAACATTACTTGAAACTAAATTTTTTTTTAACGCTTTTTTTTTGAAACGACGTAAAATGGATAAAATAATTTATCTTAGCCCAACACTCATTACTCACTAAAATATACGTATTTTTAGAATAATTTTAATGCCAAGTGTTAAGATCAACGGTTTTTGTTTTTTATTTTACACCAACTATTTTTAGTTTACTTTAATTAACATGTTAAATCCAAGAAAAGAGCACTTAGGTATTTACAGTATACAAATTATACTTTATTTTTTAACAAAATAACATAATAAAATTTTTTATTGAGATGCAAAAATCACAATAATCACAACGATGAATTGTGTTAAAAATGTTGTAACTAGCTTAGTTAATCAATATTTTCCAGTCCCATGGACGTACGCAACATTTTTGCAACGTTGATAAAACGTTATTACCCAAAATTTCTTAACATTTACACAACTGATAGTCCTAAAGTATTTAAATTTACTTTGATTTATCTACAAGGTTTTTTGGTATATTTATTAGGCAATAATTGAATCAATATAGAATATTATTTTCACTTATACATCTGTGAAAAAATATTTATTATACTTACCCTATAATTTGGCGTTATATTAACTATTAATCATATGTTTTTTTTCCTCCGACGTTTTATTGAAATAAGGAAAAATTAGGTTTATTGTTTCATCGTAAGTTTAGCGCTGTATGGTATACAAAAACTGTAAATAATAATAATTGTAGTAATATTTAAAAAAACCTTATTTTTTATTTCTATAAAGTTTGGATTGTCAATAATTCCAGTGCAAGAATTAAAATTCAAAAAATTTTTGTTGCATGTTTCCAAGTAAGTTATTGCACTCATTACTGAACTCTTTGAGTGTCGAAAAAAGCCAGTACTCGATTAGTCATCGGCCACGTTTCACGTGGGGCGTACCGACTGGCCAGCACGGAGATTTTCATGAAAGGCGAAACTCGCATAATCCATCTAATGCTGCGATGCGCTGTAATCAATCTCCCAGATAATTAATTATTCCCGGTCGATTTTTATGTGAAGTTGGCGTTTGAAATATTAATTAATAACTGTCCGGCTTGAAAAAAATTCTATTTTTCGCAAATGGTTTGAGAAATTCTTTCGTAATTAGCAATGCGTATATTTGTATTTTAATAATAATTCAAATACTTCTGACAGTTAATTAATTAATTATAAAATTTTTAAAATTATTATGTAAATGAAAATATTGTATTTTTTAACATTGCGTTCGATATTTAAGAATGCTTCACTTAAATACGTAAATGATTTATCATTTTTACTGATAAAGAGAGATAATATGTTGCATAATAGTTTTTTATTTTTTAAAAATTTTTTCTAGATTTTTAAATAATTTTGCTGTATCTAATGTGGATCAGCAAAATCTCACGGATTAATTTTAAGTGAGTACACCCCACAAAATCAGTTTTAAGAAATCTCCATTGTAGAGAAAAAAATATCAGACGATATATTTCTTCGTCTTGGATGAATTTTTTTATATGAGCGAGTTTTTCAAAAATATATTTCTAAGCTTATGCTCATTTAATCATTATAAGATGTTTACAGATCCATGCACTGTTTTTTCATTATTTTCAAACAGTAACACACCCACACACGCGTGTAAGATTATCCACGGACTCCAAGG